TCCAAGAAATCTCACTCTAAAACTAAGCCAGGTATTCTAAAAAAAGACAAAGCAGTAAAGGAAAAGATTCCTAGTCATCATTTTATGCCAGGAAGTCCTACTAAGACTGTGTACAAAAAGCCCCAGGAAAAGAAAGGGTGTAAATGTGGGCGTGCTACTCAAAATCCAAGTGTTCTTACATGCCGTGGCCAACGCTGCCCTTGCTACTCTAACCGCAAAGCCTGCTTAGATTGTATATGTCGTGGCTGCCAAAACTCCTATATGGCCAATGGGGAGAAGAAGCTGGAGGCATTTGCCGTTCCGGAAAAGGCCTTGGAGCAGACCAGGCTTACTTTGGGCATTAATGTGACTAGTATTGCTGTGCGTAATGCTAGTACCAGCACCAGTGTAATTAATGTCACAGGGTCCCCAGTAACGACGTTTTTAGCTGCCAGTACTCATGATGATAAAAGTTTGGATGAAGCTATAGACATGAGATTCAACTGTTAAATCAGTGGGTCTTTAAGCCTACCTCTGGTAGGGAAATAGCTAGTTTTACGGCAGCTATGGTTCTGTTGGTTTAACTTGCCGGAGCTCCTGCATATAGATCACTTGTATCAAGTGTTTTCATTGCTAAGTTATATGTGTTAGTGTCGGGGAAATAGTTTGCAGATAATGGAGGAGTAACCCTACAACTGTATGTCCTTAGTTCTTACAGAACCTCATAGTTTGAGAACAAATGCTGATGCAACTGATTTATAGAAAATGAACTTTGGCAAGGAAAATAAAACATTAACCTCATTGTTTATGGTCATGCTTTGTGCATAATCAAAGTTTATGATTAAATGTGAGGAAGTGGTATCTAGTCAGTCCGCAAAGATTGTGCTGTTTTTTTTGTGTGTGTGTGTGGAAAAGTAGCCATTAGTTTTATTCAGGAGATTCAGTGCTGGCCTCAGATGCAACACTGACATCCTCTTGAAAAGCTGATGTGCCCAGCTCAACCTTTGTGCTGACATAATACCATTTCTGGTCATGAAAATGGGCTACTGGTGTATGTAGCAGTTCTTAAATCAGCAGTATTATGAAAGAAAATTGGCCCCTCATTAGGATCTTTAAGGACTCTGTCCTTTTAAAAAGAAAATAAGCAAGGTGAAGTTTGTCAGACTGCAAAGTTTAGTTGTCTGTGCTTCGAAACTCTTGAGTTGAGACCCCTTTTTAAGCCTGACACATTTCTGGGAAAAAATTCTAAATCCTTCACTTTGAGCAGTGTTCTAATTGGATAAATGAACAGTTTAATCTGGCAGTAACTGAATTTATACTAGGATGTGACAATTTTTAAAATAGGTTTTTATTTAGAAATTGGATTTAAAATAATTTCGGAATAATGCCCCACAACTTATCCAGATTTATGCATATTTATTGTCTTTGGCCTTTGATTTTGGTTTCCTCTTTTGACATATAATTTATTTGAATATGCTCCTGTTTTTTTAGGGTGCTATTCATTATGAAGAATTCTCTACTGAGGCCTAATAAAAATTCCTTTTATGAAGCCTGTGCATTTAGGTGGGTTTGAAGTTGGGGTGATTTTCTTTAGGTTGCTCTTTTGCATGTAAAGCACAAACTTTCAGTTTAAATGTACTTCTTCCCTTTAGTTTTTATGGGGAAGACAAACATTCTGTTGAAGGGAAATCCAGTCAGTTGCTTGAAAGAGCACAGCCCAAACAAAACAAGGACTGACAAGGTGTAAAGAAATAACCTTATGATTTAAAATAATTTGCTTTGACAGTGCTTAAAGAAAAATACTGCTGGGAAAGTTTCAATTACTACGTCCACCATCTCTAGTGAGGTATGATGTGTTGAAGTAATGTTTTGATTTGGCACACAGCATGTTCAATGATGGTTACTCACTTAGTATAAGACACGCAGAAGAAACCTTTGGACACAGAGCAGATGACACCTCCTTCTGTTTTGTAGTGTACCCTGGTGTCATTTTCTGTGAATGTGGTCAGGTAGAGTTGTTTTTGTTGTTGTTGTTGGGCTTTTTTTTTTTTTTTTTTTTTTTTTTTTTTTTTTTGTCTCTTGGTGGGGTGGGGGTGGGCTAAAGCCATAGGAAGAAAAATGTGATGTATGTGTCCAGTATGTACTATTTTGTTTTTGTTTTGCAAGAAGAGTTGAACTATTTTTGATAACAAGAGTAAATGGTGGAAAATGCTTCTTAGTTGTCTTGTCTTTATTTGCTTTCCAAGTTTTGGAATTTTATTTAATTCCTTTAGTGTTAGCAGTGTCTTATAAACATGTATTTACCTAAAACTTGTAACAGTTTTGTGTTGAACCCAGATGCCCTGCTATATAAACTTGTATATCTGTTCTTTATTCACTAATGATTACTGAAAAGATGACTAGAAATGAGATTGTACACATGGATGATTACGATATATTTTGCAAATCTCCCAGACTTTCTTAATATGATCTTAAAATTCATGCAGTACTTTATTGCTTCCCAAGTTTGATAATCTTGGTTTTGTGTTTTTTGATGCATGGGAGGTTGGCAATATAGACAAAGTGAAAACCATTATTAGTATGTGAGGACCTTGATTGTTATGTAATATTGCCAATGATGAATTCAGGTTGTTTTTAGCACAAATTTTCTCTTTTTTATGCTGGTATTCTCACTGCCACATTTTTGAAAACCTGTATTACACCTTAAAATCTATCAATAAATGATAGTTTTCTAATTCTATGTTGTAGAATACTGAGGAGTTTGGGATAGCATGCTATGAATGGTCTGTATTGTTTTGGGGAAGAATTACAGTGCCTTTGTATGTATGCATGTATGTATGTATTTAAACACCATGAATTATTTAGGAATGCTGACTTAGGGAATTACTGAAGTAACAATTTACTTCATAAGGATATGAAACTGCTGAAACAAGAACAGCATTTAATCTGAGCATCTTCAGTGTCTTGATTGTTAATAATATAAACAATCAAATCATCTTTTCCCTTAGGTAATGAATAGTTTCAGCGCAGAAAATTTATCTTTTGGTTAGTCTCATGAAATATACATTTAAGGTGCTTTTTAAATTTCATTGTATTACTAGTTTTCTTGAAACAATTCCGTGGCAATCTTGTTGAATTTTTATAATACACAAGAAATAAACATTTTTCCTATACTGTAGATAGCACATTACATAACTTAGGAAATACTAAGTTCAGTCTATTGTCTGGATCTAATACTTTGGTAATTTATACTTTTCCCCCTTTAAAAAACAGTCGTATGAACCCAATAACATGCAAATACATTCAATAACATGCAGTTACATATTTTAAAAAAATAATACATTATAGGTAAGGTTAATGTCCACTTTGGTCCTTGTGAACCCCTCGCTCCCCAGCCCTGATTCTCCCTATCATGAAAGTTTCCAGGGGTTCAAAAAGTTATTTTCTTAGAAACTCAAGTTTCTTCACAGTGTTACTCCTTCAGATATGTGGTGTGATTATTTTAGTGAACGTGATTCATATTTGATAACTTTTATTTAGTTTCGCAAAAAAAAAAATCAAAAGTTTTAAGTCAGGTAGCCTTCCCCACTCAAACACAGCAATGTTTCCAAAAGCTGAGCAATGACTTGTTGACTCTAATAGTTCTATATAAACAACTTGAACAATTCACAGTGACAGGTAAGATGCAGGGCAAATATACAGTTTTATTCAATTACCTTTGCTATTAATGTGATGCTGTGAAACTCATTTTTCATTAAATAGCATTAAGATCATGATAACTCTTATCCTTTATCAAGGAATTTGGGACGTTACAATTTGCAGTTTCCAGTTTGGCAGTAACTTATACTTAGCATTCATTATCTTATCAAAAAGTCAAACATACTATCCTAGTTCCTCATAATTCACATTCCTTGTATTCAGCTCTAAAAAGTACAGTGAATCACACGCTTACATTTGTTAAAAATATGGTAATTTGGGTAGCCCAAATTAGCCAAACAGTATGGTATTGACAGCTTTATTTTTATAATTTTAAAGCCACATACCAATCAGTCAAAGAGGACTCTGATAAAGGCAAAGTAGTAAAGCCAAATAGTAATAAAAATACATTGTAAACCAATTTTATTTTTACTCTTTGGTGAGCCTCAAGATTATAGATAATAAAACTTTAAAACCATATCTGGTTTCTTAAAAGTATAAACTTATGTATTTTTATCTGAAAAATTTGTTATTTTCCCTGGTAAAGGACCAGTGGGATTGGTGCCAAGTTTCATGTATCAGATAAATTTACACGTGTTTAATCATGAAGTACACTAACAGGAATCTGGAAGATCTTGTGAGGGGCAGGATGGCTGGGGATTGCGAGCTCTGTTTTATATTTCCCTAATTTTTCTTGTCTCCACTTTTTGCCTAATACTGCCCAGTATTTGGTTATTTTGGTGCTGACCTATACACCAGCAAGGGAACCAAAGTGGAGTGGAAAAATGAAGCCATTGTGACACTTCTAAGACTCACAGATTAAAAAAAATCTAGGGAAAAATTGATGACTGACATACACTAAAACGTCACTTTGGAGAGTTTTCTTTCACTTCTATCAGAAATGTTCATCCTCTTAGTGTAGTTTCACCTCACCCAACCCCACCAGCCCAGTGCACACTGGACTGTTTATCGATAAAGAATTCTGAAATGAACAATATACCACTGTAGTAAATAACAGCTTTTATGGGTGCCATCATGATTTTCTTCCATTTCTCTGATAAATATTGAGGTGGATGAAATATCTGCAGTAATAATTTCTTTTCAGTATCAAATAAGGAATGATGTTTAGATACTTAATGAAGAAAAGACTTTAGGAAGGTTTTTTCTTAATATACTTTTTTCTTAACAGTATATTATTTTTATGTCTTTAGGCCTACTATAAAGATAGGGAGTCAGATAATTTGGAGATTAATAAATGATTCATTAGTTTTCTATGAGTGTTAGATAACTTTTCAAGCATGAGTCAAATTTCTGTACTTGTCTTCATTTAAGAAGTTTTTCTTGTGTTTACATAAGATTCACAATAAGGATGGGGAAGTTGCTAGAGCTTGTCAGTGAATTTGGAAGGCCCAGTGGTTGTAATACCTGAGGTTGTAAAGTGACTAGCAGTTTGGGCAAGTCATCGTGAAGTTAACATTAAACCAGGTAAGTTCAAGATCTGAACTCCAGTACACATAAAGGAAGTCTCTGAGATGTTTTGGCAGTGCTTTTATTACTAGGGTTAAGTCAATTCTGGAGGCCCTGCCTACATTTTCAAGTTCCAGAATTTTCTGACTCAAGTTTTCTGCAAGTGGACAACTTCTTCCAGGCTCCACAGGAGCCCTGAGGACCTCAGGGATGCTGGCCATCACTGAGGCAACTTCTGTGCAGAGGATGAACTGCTTGGCACTGTCCCTAAGGGATCCTTGATACATTCAAGGGTGTACAGTGCTGATGTGCAGACTTCGTAAAGTAAGTTGTTATATAGACACTTCCAAGGAAAAGCTCTGCAAGAATTTGAGGCAAACTGGAGTCTCCTAAAATGAATATGTATCTAGACCCATTGCTTAAAAATAAAAGTTCCTAGCGCAGATACACACTTGGAGAAATCAAAGCCTTTAAAAAGCAGTATGCAAACTACAGCATCTCTTCACAAGAAAAAAATTTTAAAATACATGTCATCCTTTCGTGTTGACCTTGGCAGCTACTCTTCATCCACTGACTGAAGCTTTCCACATTGCTCTGAAAGGTTGGAGGTTACTATTTTATTGCCTTTGTTTCCAAATTCAGAGGGAGAAGCAGGCTGATCTGTCTCATAATCTTCAAAGGACCTGAAAGGAAAAATGTGATTTTTAAAAGTTTCAACATTTGGGTAGAAGTCTCAGTTGCTGAATGGCAACTATTAAACAACTGAGCTAATAATTTAGGGCAGAAAACATTTTCCCTGTTACTTAAAGCTGAAGTCAATGTTAGACTTTGTTGAAAATACGTTTATTTAACCTTTCGTAGGGGCCTTGGTGGCAGAGCATTGTGGATGGTGTTAGGTTAAAAAGCATTAATGAGTTTTACTTGAATGTTTTCATTGAAGTGGTTTTCTATGAAGAGTGGGGAACTTTCTCAGCTCTCAAAATGCTGTATAGCTTTCCTCCATGGCTTTCTATAAACATGTACAACTATGTGGAGAGCAAACTAAAACCAATTCATGGATTTCCCTTCGTTCTGCTTTGCAGAACTCCACAGTGTATGTAGATGTTTATTCGGGGAAGAATTCCCTCTGCTCACTCCTGTAGAGGTTACTCATAGCCCTAAACTCTTCATATGCTTTAGACAGATGAAAAAATACTTGGTCTCTTTTGAATGATGGCTAGCTAATGAAACTGATTTTTGTTCCCTCTAATGGTACAAGGAACTGAACCCAGTGCTGTTACATTCCCAGTAATGCCCACCATGCTGCCTTTTATTTTGAAATCGTCCTAAATTGCTCAGGCTGGGCCTGAGTTTATGATCCTCCACTCTGCTTTCCAGAACAATAGTATTATAGGCCTATGCTACCAATGCATGGCTTAAGCTGAAAAAATATTTTGGGGTTGACATATGGTCATTTACTAAAGCATTATAGTTAAATTTGCTATTACCCTTTGCAGATCTTCCACAATAGTCAAAACAAATTTCTAGACAAATAATCTTAAAACAGGATCAAGGCCAACTAGCGGGAGGGAAAATATGCTGAAGAGGGAATACCTAGTCGGAGTTAACCTGTCCACATTTCTAGAAAGGGTCTCATGTAGTTCAGGCTGGCCTATGCTGGCTTCAAAGTTGTGATCTTGTCCCAGTCTTTTGAGTGCTGAGATGACACGTATGCATTAACATACCTGGTTTACGCTTTTTTGGGGGCAATACTAGGGATCAAGCTCATGGACTTGCATATACTAGGCAAAAGCTTTACTTCTGAGCTAGACCTGGCTCCCTCTTTTTAAAGATTTTGTTGCCCATATTGGTATTCAACTTCTGGGGTGAAGTGATCCTGCCTCAGCCTTCTCTATAGCTAGGACTATGCTTGTAACACCGCCCAGTTCTTAAAACATTTATGAGAAGGTCAGACTTTTTAAAAAGCCTACCTGATGTTTGGAAAATTGTTCCTTAAGAATACCAGTGTATATTATCAAATGTTATTTACAACTTGATCATTTTGCAGAAATACTCCATTCCATTCTTAGCTTGTTGCTACACCTTCCCCAATCGCAAGAGGCCTCAGAGGAGGTGCATAAAGGGCCTAAAAGAAGCTGCAAATGGCAGAGTCTTCATTTTGGGAAACAAAATTCTCAACTGTTAACGGTAGTGCATTCAGACCCCGAGACTGCTTATTTTCTATCAGAATGGGAGACATCACCCATTTATGGACTGTGTTTGCAAGTACTGTAGTGCAGGTCTAAAGAGTTAAGTCTGAAGTGAGATTCATTCAGTAAATATTTGAGTGCCTGTTGCTAAGCATGAACCAGATGTTAGCAATACAAATGGTGAAGAATGAAGCAGCCCCTCCTCAAACCACTTGGAGCCTAATGGGGGCCCACCTGGAATAGTGGTTGTGTGTGAGCCTTGGAATCAAGACTGAGGTCAGGTTCCAAACTGGATTAATTACTTAATGTGATTTTAGGCATGTTACTTCACCCCACTACATCAATTTCTTCAACTGGTGAGTTCTTGCCCTTCACGGTGAGGTGCAGATAGGACATGATCACAGATTTGACAAATGGTGTATAAGTACTGGGACTTACAGGAATATGGTGACACAACCATATTTCGGGGGCAGGGTTACAATTTTGTGCTTGTGAATATAAAGGAGTTCAGTAACCATCCTTACTTCAGTGTCCTTGAGATTCCTCCCTTCAGTGGTTTCTCAGCTGGGGGTGATTTTGCCCGTAAGAAGTATTTGGCAGTATCTGGTGACACATCTGAGTGATACAACTGGATGGGTCCTACTGGCATCTGGTAGGTACAGTCCAGGGATGCTGCTGAGCAACTCACAAATATCCAGCCCAAAACAACTGTCATTGAGCAGTGTGAGCCAGGTTATGAGCTACCATCTTGGCATTTTGTACTTCCCTGCCAGTTTTTATAGTCTTTCCCAAGCTTTACCCTCCAGTTGTTCTGCGGCTTCTAAACCTGTATGTCTAATCTCTGTGTCTTTCTGAACTTGATACATGGATCCTTTATACATCCAGCTGTCTACTAGGTGTTATTCTCAAAAGAGTGTGTATTAACATGAACTCACCTTTCTCACTGTCTTGGTTCTCCCTACTTCAGTCAGCAGCACCATCATCATCTACTCAAAGGTAGAAATCCCCTTATCCCAATTAACTTTCCTCTTCTTCTCCCCTCTCCCAACCCTGTAAAATTTAGCTGATCTCTTAGGCCCACCAGACACAGCTCTGCTTCTTCCTCCTTACTACTGCTACTTAGTTTGGGCATCATACTTTTTTGCTTGGATTATTACAGTAGTTTTCTAGTAACTGGTCTTGCCTTTGCTCTTGCTACATACCTTTTGCTACTGCCATACTAGGCTGCTTATCATGGTAGAATGGGTTGTGGTCTTGGGACTTAATACTAGTGTGTGTGTGTGTGTGTTTTGAGACAGGGTCTCACTATGTAGTTTAGACTGACTTGGAACTCACTATGCAGCCCAGGCTGGGTTGTGGTCTTGGGACTTAATACTAGTGTGTGTGTGTGTGTGTGTGTGTGTGTGTGTGTGTTTTGAGACAGGGTCTCACTATGTAGTTTAGACTGACTTGGAACTCACTATGCAGCCCAGGCTGGTCTCGAACTTACAGGATCCTCCTGCCTTAGCCTCCTTAGTGCTGGGATTGCAGGCATGCACCACCACGCCCAGCACTACTGTATATTTTTCAATGGCTTTTTACTCTTCCTTTTGGGTAACTCATGTTCATCTTTTTATCTGAGATGTCACTAAAAATATTCCTGATTGCTTGCACTCCTCAGTCACCCTCTTTTATTTAGATGTCTGTAATGGCTTCCTTATTTGTTTCTCTTATTATACCTCCATTAATCTAGCAGAATAACTTTCAAAAGTGAGATTATATGACTTTCTTGCTTTAGCAGCTTTCTCAAGCTCTATCTCTCTCTCTCACTCTCTAACTGTATTTCCCTCTGTTAGATACTCTAGATATAATAGCTTTAAAATTTTTTCAGGATGTTTATTTGCTTTAGAACCAGTGCACATATTTCCTGTTTTCTTTAGGACATTTTTGTTTTTGATGTTTGTATTGCTTTTCAACCTGTTAAATCTTATCACTTCCTTATGGAATTCTTCCCTCTGCATTCTTGAGATGTAGCTTCCCCCTCTATTATTGGCTCCTTCATAATTATATAATTAAATGTCTTTTACCACTGGACTGTAAAGTATACACTTTGTAACTAATTTCCTTGGGCTAGAGTAGAGTAACTGGCACATGACCTAATGCTTTCATGAAACAAGCTGTTGGAGAAAAGTAGAATCTAGTAAAATGGTGAAGGTGCAGAACTCATGTTAGAGTCACTTGAGTCAGATCTGCAAGTCTTAATCATCCTGTCTCCAGAAACTCATGAGAACATGAAGTATGTTATCTGACTCCTAGGTGACCCCTCGTGGGTTTAGGTATAGGTCATTGGGATTCTTCAGGGTTCAAGTGAAGACTTCTTATGAAGTGTTTTCTGATTGACCATTTTTGAATAAGCAGAAGGGTCAAGGTTGAGGCAGAACTCACAGGTTCTCAGTCTACTAGAAATCACAGATAGCAAACTAAAATTCCAGTCCTTAACACAATATTATAAGCATGAAGGGAAGAAATGGGTTGTGTAATTCTTCCAGCAATATCACTGCATTTAGAAACCTGCTTCCCTGAGTAAGCAAATGAGCAATGACTGGTACATATGTGGTGTGACCAAACAGCTTCAGGGGCTGTCTGGGATTTTGGCTGGATTCCAATTTTTGGCACTCTCACTTTTTTGTTGTTGGTTTTTTGACACAGGGTCTCACTAAGTAGTTGAGACTGACCTGGAACTCACTATGTAGCCCCAGCTGTTCTTGAACTCACAGTGATCCTCCTGCCTCAGCCTCCCAAGAGCTGGGATTACATGCCACCATGCCCGGCTTGGTACTCACTTTTTACAGAGACTAAGGGATAAATATTTGATTCAGGGCTTGTCTTGGGAAAGGTAAGACATGGTGGCTATATGCTCAGAATAAAATGTTAAATGGCCTTTTAATTTGTATTTTTAAAATTTTATAATACTTCAGAAATAGAAGTGTGTGACTTTTACTTTCATATATTTAAAAATATATTCTGGCCATTTATATAAAATGAATTAAATGATATCTTCTAGAATTTGCATATTTGGTTCACTGAACTTCCTTATTCCATCCAGTGTCTAGAAAAATCTTTTGTTCCAACTCTTTAAGTTTCCTAATATATTCCACTACCACTTCCCTGCCTCAGAAAGCTGACCTCACTTTTAAAAAAATTTTTATTTTCAGAGATGGGTCTTGCTATCTAGGCCAGGCTGGCCTTGAACTCACAATACTCCTGCCTCCGCCTCCTTGAGTGCCGAGATTACAGTGTGGGATGCTATGCTTGCATTTCACTTGTTTTTTTATTGGGTACCAGGGATCAAACTCAGGACCAAATCCCGGCCCTGCACTTCACTTTTGATGGCTGAGGATCTCTTGTAGTTTCCCAGGGTTACAAATGGTCAGCTGTTAATTCTTATTGCTGATGTAGATAGCATAAGAACTAGGACTAAATATATTCTAATTTTGAGCTTGAAGGAAACACAG